GATGGAGCATTATGACCCTTTGTACTGTGGGGGCTCCACTGCCCAGAGAGGAGCAGGACTGCATTACCCTCTCAGCAATGCCCCTCTCAGGTCTTTGAAAGGGCTTACCAAGGAAGAGCAGAGTAGCTGGGGAAGTCTCATGGCACAGCCAAGATGCCCAGTATAAGAGATCCAGATGCCCAGCTGGGCTGGGGTGTGGGTAAGTGGAGAAGCTGTTTCTGTTGGCCAGAAACCATGGGCACCTGTGAGGCCTCACAGACAAGGATGGGTGTCCCCTGGATTTTGCAGAGGGCAAGGTGGCCTGCACCTAGTTGTAGACAGGGCTGGGGTAAAGACCAGGTCAGATGGGCAACCAGCCCCTCCCCCTGCCCCGGCCTCTCAACTGGAGCTGGCCTTCAAAATCCATCTCCCAAATCCATCCTGCCTGCTCCCAATCTTGGCCTCTGGGCCTTCTCAGGCTCTTCCTGCTCCCCTCAACTAGACCTAGCTGGGCAGGGGTAGTTGACCCAAGCATCCTGGGCCCTTGGGCTGTTCCTGCCCAGGGAGGGCCTGGGGAGCCTCAGGAGCCTCTCATCTGGGAGCCCCAATCAGTCACCACCCAACCCTCCCCAAGGGTAACAGAGTCAGTCTCCTCTTCTCCCAGGCTCCCCCCAGCCCTCTCCAGGTTCCACTTCCTGTTCTACATACAAGCTCCCCTTCGGGATCCCTACCCATCAGGCTCCCACTAAGGCCTGTCTTGGGATGGAAGGAGACCCTCCCCAACTCCATCCAAGCGCGGGAGCTGGATAAGAGGCGGGGAAATGAATATTAATTTATCATGATTAGGCAAATCCGGCAGGGAGAGCCGATTCCGGAGGAGGCTAAAAAGATGAATTTCAGCAATAAAATTAAATAAGGACGGACGGGTGGCCCCTCCTTCCTCCCGCTTTGCTGATCTCTCTCTTTCTTACAATTTATGAGGCCAATTATGAAGATGAGGTTGGAAGTTCCTGGAACTTCACTAAATGCAAACGGCGGTCCCTGCTGTTCCCATCAAATTAATTAACCGCGCGCTATTGATGGCCGCTCAAGGCTGACGCAGGCCCGCCCTGTGGCCGCCTCCACGGACATGAGGACCCAGAGTCTGCAGGCAGCCAGGTCTCCACCACTTTCTTCAGTCCCCACTCAACACCAGCAAGGGACTCCAGGGACCACCTTCCAGCCCCTAGGCCCTGCCTGAGCCCTTAACAACGCAGGGAACATGCACACAGGGGTCTAGACAGATGGACACTGATGTGTACCAAAGTTTCCTCCTCACTCCCCACGCACACCAGGCAGATACAAAATCATGAACATACAGCACACAAACACACGAGCCCGGGAATGCACATTAGGCATACAGGCAAATGAGCACACAGTGGGACAGACATGGGCCACAGTGCCAGCCAGGCTAAGAGGGAGTGCGGTGGGTTAGGGCATCTTGCTGTGTAAGGAACCCTGCCTCTGGGGACATGGGCCTGCTCAGTCAGGGCCAGGCCTGGGCTAAGGACTAAGCTGAGGCTCCACAGACACTCGAGCAGTGATCTGTGGCCCCTTATCTGATGCCTGCGTTGTGCCTGTGTTGTCCTCCCATGGCATCCTCAGAGCTCTCCCATGGCACCTCAAACCCTGGGTCCTCTTAGGAGCATTCTTCAAGAATGTTCCCTCTAGACATTTTGCTGGGGCTCAGCTTTTGCCCTGACCTCTGGGTGGGGGATCAGAGCTGGCAGAGTCCCCTGCTTCAGATGGGGATGAGGCCTGGCTTAGAGACTCAGACCAGCTTTGGGGATTCTGCCCTGAGGGTTCCCCTCTTCCAGAACTCAGAAACAAGGCTTCCCAGTTGCTCAGGGTTTCTGGAAAACTATCTGGCTGGGGTCTAAACTGAAGGGCAGGGTGGGCATAGGGTTAAAAGTCTTGGGTTGAGCCCATCCCAGGCCTGCAGCAACTCCCAGGTGTCTACAGAGTCTGGGTAGCAGCAGATGCCCCAACAGTTATAGCTTCTATGTGCGGTTGGTCTCTGAGAAGGTGGAGAGGGGCTGGAAAGGAGCTCTCCTGTGGGAAGAGAGGAAGTGAGGCCAACATCTTCTCTAAGTCGTGGTCCCTAGTCCTGGCACAAGGCATCCCATTCCAAGAAACAGAATCCCTTAAATCTCCTGAGGAAGCTGGATGAAGGGCCTGGGTTGTCCACCCCTAGCCCTTGGATCCTAGAAGGCAGGTCTTGGTTGGGCTTGCCCACCTTGCCATGTTCACTCCAGGCCCTATCCCTACAGCTGCTCCCCTGTGAGCAGCAAGAACCCAGGAGGAAAGTTTGTCCTTGTTCCCCTTTCAGTGTAAGTCTGTGTACAAGGCCAAGGTCAAGTTCATCATGCCAAGCACTGGGAAAAGATGAGGGCCCAGATTGGCAGAGAGGTCTGTATCTTGGGCACAAAGAGTCAGAGAGAAACTGAAATTAAGGGAGGCTCAGACCAAGCATCTGGCAGCCAGTTGTAGAGGGCTGGGCCCTCCCATACTCCAGGCCTGCAGAGTTCCACCCGTTGCCCACACCCCGGCTGCACTTTGAGAGACCTCTTCTGCCTCACAGCAACAGGGCCTTCTCACACCCCCAGTCCCTCTGCTCACTAGATACAGGGAGAGACCAAGGCATACTGGTCCTTTGGTTGTCTAGTCTTGCAGTAACAAATTGCCACACGCTCAGTGGCTTAAAGCCAACACAAAAGTATTACTACACATTTCTGTTGTTTATAGTCTGACACAGGTCTCACTGGAATAAAACTGAGGTGTGGGCTGGGCTGCATTCTGTTATGGAAGCTCTAGAGTAGACTGCTCCCTTGCCTTGTCTGGTTTCTAGCTGTCCATATTCCTTGTCCAGTGGCCTCCTTTATCTTCAAAGCCAGGAACATCTCTTCTCTCAGACCTTTCTTCCATTGTCAACTCTCTCTCTGTAGGTTCTTCACTTTTAGGGACTCATGATTGGATGGGGCTCACTGGATAATCTCATCTCACAATCCTAAACCTTAACCACTTCTGTAGAGTCCTTTTTGCCAAGTAAGGTAACCTATTCCCAGGTTCCAGGGATGAGGACATGGACATTTTCAGGGGACTGTTATTCTGCTTACTGCACATGTGGGCTGACCACGGATAGAGTTACGATGGTTGAGCTAGGCCTGTGGGGCCCTTCTTCTTCTCAAGACCATGTGGTTGTATAGTAGTTTTGGGGTATTCAGTCGCTAGACAGGGCTCTGAAATTCAGTCCCCTTTTGCAGCAGGATGGGGCATTGGGCTCAAAGCCTGCCCAACAGCCAAGTTCAGGCTCTGAAGCGCCTGGGGAACCTCCCCCCCGACCCAACACACTCTTTGTTTAGTGTGGACTCAGAGAACCACTTTCTCTCCCAAACTGGGCAGCCTTTCTCAAGACACAGAAATCACCCCCATTGGTTCTTTTCCTGGGTTCCTGTCAGATTGAGCAGCCAAGATACCATGCCCAGGAGGGGTCTCTCTGGAGATGGTGCCACTCTCTCTTTTTAACCTATGATTTCCTGTTGCCCTTGGCCAGGAGGAGGGACCAGGTATTTGTATGGTTTGTAGGTAGTCTCTGGAATTCTAATCTCCTGCAACAAGGAGTGAGGGCACCCCTGATTTCAGACACACAGTCAGCCCCCCCACCCCCCCCCCCCCCCGTGGTTAAGTTACCCGTGACTCACTGGTTCCCTCTTCTCCCAGGCCTGGAAGCCCCGTTCCTCGGGGCCTGGAGAGGCTGCGTGAGCCAGCCTCTGCCCCTTGCTGGGATGATGGCAGGCACTGAGGGCCCAGTCCAGAGAACTAGCAGAGCCTATAATGGAGGGCCATAGACAGCCAGGGGGACCCAAGGATTTGCTCACCCTTCTCATCCACTGTAGGCCCTGGGCAGCGACACCTCCCTGGAAGTAGAAGGTTTGAGGGAGAGGTTTGCCCCTCATGGAGGCTTCTGGGCCTTTGATTTAGCTGTCTCTAGCCGGTACTAAGCTGCAGAAGGGCCCCCCAGACTCCATGGGCTTTTGCTTTCTTCCCAGGCATGACCTGTGCAGGCAAGGCCCTGTGGCTTGGACTTCAGGGTATAGAACTAGAGTAGGATCCCCTGACTGAAACCAGGCCAACAAAGGCCAGCTCTGGGACTCTGCAAGTTACTGATAGAGATGCAGAACTCAGCACCTGCCCCCTGCCCTGCCTCTCGTCCAGCATACTCAGGTTTGAACCCATCTCTGCAGCCTGAGCACCCCTCACACTCTGCCTCCAAATCCCCTATGTCATGGGGCCTTTCCAGGCTCCTTGCTGCTCTGCCAACACACCTGCCTTCTCCTAGCCTCACTGCCCATTATTCTTCATACTTGGTGTGCCCATACCTTCCATAAACCCCTCCCCACTCCCCTCACCAAATTCTGTCCTGAAAGGCCCAGCCTTTGAAAACCATCCTAACTCCACTAGCTAGACGTGTTTCTATCAGCTGTCAAACTAAGCCCCTCAGCCTGACTCAGTCCTCTACCAGCTGGCCTTCCCCTGACTCCTGGCATACAGCATCCTCACTAAAGTGGTTTCCTTCATTGTCCCCAAACAGAACTTGCTTACCCCTCAAATAGGCTATTTCCCTGCCAGTCTGCCCCTCCTGTCAGCCTTCCCTGACTGCCTCAACCCTGTCAGTGGTACACAAGTCACCAATGAGTTGTTCCTAATGAGTACTGTCACCTTTGTTCAGGTCCCCAAACAGCCTATTCTAAGGGAAGGCCCATAGGAGATGCTGATGGTAGATAGAGCTCCTAATGCCTGACTCCATGAATTCTTCCTTTTAATGTCCACCCCTATCCCTGAGTTCAGGAGCTGACTCAGGCCCAGCCTGTCTGGAGAGCAGTTAACTTGCCTTTCTGGGCTCCATTCAGCTCTCTTATCCATCCCCACCTGGGTGGAAGCAGGCAGGCAGGGGCTGTAGCAGCTCACAGACACCAGGCAGGTTGAATGTTAAATGCACTTTACTGGGCTCCAGGGCCATTAAATGCTGTCCTCACTGAGCCTGGGATGCCCCCTCCCCATACCTCCAGTTGCACAGGAAGCCAGTGGGTGGAGGGAGTACATTCTTCTGCTCCAAAGCATCTTGGGTGATGCTAGGCCACAGCTGCCTGTCCATCCCCCTGCAGTCCCCATCACACCCCCAGCAGCTTCCTTGGGGTCGGGAAGGGAAGACACCTGGGCCTTCAGCTTCCTGTGGCTTCCAACTAGCCACCTGTTCCTGCTTAAAGTGAGGCAAGAGGCCATGTGCAAAACTCTACCAGGGCCAGTGGTGAGGTAGACGGGATGGATAGCCTGCTTCTGTCGGGGAGAGGGCTAGACAGACCTTGGGGACAGGCTGGCCCTTCCCCTCAGGCCCAGGTTACTGGTAGTCAGAGTAATAAGGTTCAGGCAACTGAAGCTGGAACTGAGTACTGGATGGCCAGGTGGGGCGGCAGTCCCGCTCGGCACCCCTCCTGCTGCAGCCACAGGTCACCAGTCCCGCTCAGCTGGTTCTCGGTAAGGCAGGCCTAAGAGCCTGAAGACATCCTTCTCAGTGGGGGTGGGCAGTACTCGGCCAGGCCCCACCTTGAAGCCCCGGGTGTCCCGGACCACAGCTGTGCTGAGGGCATGCTCCGACAGGCTCATGCCTTTGGTCTTGGCCAGAGCCCGCATGGAGCGGTTGAAGTGGGCAGAGCCAGTGAAGTAGAGCAGAGCACAGGCAAACTCGCTGTAGGGCACAACGATGATGTCCAGCCGTCGGTGCCGCCGCCCTGGTCCCGGCAGCCGGCATACACCCAAGTACTTCTGCTGCCGGCCATTCTCTTGGCTCACCAAGTCATCCGTCAGGAGCCCTGGTCCAACACAGGAGGGTCACTGGGAGGGCTGGGGGCAGGCCTTGGCTGCCCCACCCTCCTGGCCTGTCCTGATGACCCTGTATTCCCACTTGACCATTTATTTGCTAGGTGACTTGGCCCTCTCTGGGCCTGTCTGCTTGTCTGTAACGTGCATAGCAATTCCTCCCCTTTGATAGTGTCACAGAAAGGCCAGATGAGAGGCTCAGCCTACAGGTATCACTGAGCACCTCCATATGGTGTAGGGAGCTATTCGTCTCTTCCCTGAAAGGACTCTGCCACAGCAGACGAGGCGTGGGAGTCTCCGAAGCAAGCTTCCCCTGCTTCCTGCTCAGAAATGGCAACGTTAAGGTCTTCACACCTGGGGGCCGCCCTGCCCTGCCCCTTGCCAACCTGCTCACCCAGAGGTGGACCTTACCTCGCTGCCGAAGGCTGTCTAGGAGGCGACTGAAGATGCCCTGGTGAGAACGGCCATCTGGGTGAGTGAGCAGCACATCCACATCACCACAGGTTGCCTTCCCCCGCCTGTAGGAGCCACATGCCACACACAGCAGCCCGGGGCTGAAGGCCTGAGCTGACTCCTGGACCTTGGAAAGAGCAGAGAGGGGGAGTGGGCCTGTGGGCCTAAGCCCTGCAAGGAGTGCCTCTCCCATGGGAGCACAAGGGCCTTCCCTGGCCCAGGAGCCCACACTCCCAGCCTGTGCCCCAAGCCAATCCATGGATCTGTGATACCAGCCAGAGGGAATGAACCTAAGGAACAGAGGCCAGAGATCTACCCTAGGGAGTGGCAGGCAGTTCTCTAGGTTCCCTAGGTCAAAAGAGAACAAAACACATTCATAAGACTAGAGGCAGGCTGAGGTGAGAGGTAAAAAGCTGTGTCCTGTGATTCTGAGGGAAGGCACTGAGCTTTCCCTCTAGAGCTTTTTAGGAGCGGAGGGACACACCTTCTCTTGTGCCCAAGTCTATGAAACTCCCCTTAGGACAAAGGGCAGGTGCCTGGAAGCCCTCAGCCAGGTGTTGGCAGCCCCAGGGATTTATGGATTTGGAACTAAAGGCAGAGTGTCTGAGTTAGGGCTTGAGGCCAGAGCAAGTGGCTGCCAGGATGCCCTGGGCCCAGGCCCTGGGGAAAATTGAGCCCAGAAATATACCTGCATCTGTAGAAAAGTAAAGGAAAGCAAATAGAGAGGAAGGCAATTCTGAGTCAGTGCTCCCATCTTTACTTAGAGGAATGGGGGTTGGCAGAAGGGAACTGAGACACGAGACTGTCAGCTAGAGGCTCACCTCTCCTTCAGCAGATAAACCAGTCAGCCCCACCCTGGAGACACTGAGTCCCTTCATATGCAGGTGGCCTCCCCACCTTCACCCCAGGATAGAGCTTTCTGGGGCCCTGGATACCAGCAGCCAGGACACCTCAATTCTCCTGGCAGGCAGGCTCTGCTAATCCCCTAACACTCTTCCTGAGCCTCCCAAGAGGATGGGAGGAGGCCTAGGATGAATAATCCCATCAAAAACTTCTAAGGCTAATGCCCATGGGGTGGGGGGAGGGGGGCAGGCCAGGTGGGAGGCCACTTCAGTTCCAATGGGTGGGGGACTGGAGGCTTACTGGGGCATTCTCTGTGCCCAGATACTGTGGCTGAGTGACAGTGTCATCACTAGCACAAAGGCCTGGTGACAGGTGGACAAAAGGCCCTGTCTAGCCATCCTGCACCAGCCTCATGGTCCTATGACCTGGAGTAGAGCTAGAGGCTGATTTCAATTAAGCCGTGCCAGAGTCTTCACAGAATCCTACCCTGTCAGAGTCCTAGACCAAAGCAAGCAGACCTGACCCAAGCAACCAGCCCCGGATCCTAACAGTTGAACAAGTGACATCTAACCCTAAATGCACCCCAATTTCTCTCTAACCTAGCTTTTATATGAATTTAATCCCTAACCCAACACTAAAACAAATCCTAATTTTGGCCAAACCTTATATCTAGGACAACTTAACTAAGTGTTAACTAAACCTTAACTAAGTGCACCCAACACCAAGAAAAACTCAGCCCTAACCTTGACTCAACTCTTGCCCTAGCTTTCTTCAAACCCTAAACCTAATCCTACAGGCAACTCTAACCCAAACCCTGAATCAGCCTCAGAGGGGCTCCAGAAGGTCCACACATATGGAAAGAGATATAAAACTTTGTACATCTGAACAACTTTTGGAGAGAAGGAGCCCATAGTTGTCAATGGTTCTCAAAGAAGCTTGTGAATCAAAAACTGTTAAGAATCTCTGCCCTGACCCATCCTAACCTAGCCCAGTTCAAACCCCAGTATCCTCAAGTAGACCTGACCATACTCTATCTCTGTCCTAACTCCATTCTAACATCTACACCGATGCTTGCTCTGCCTGACTGCTGAGAGCCCTAATCCAGAGATCGGTGTCGCAGTCCTACCTACCAAAGCCCCCCACCCTTCCTCTGGGCCTGTAGCTTTAGTCTCAACTCATTCTTTCCCCATTGGTCCCAACTTCTGGTGGCCCACTGCTTCCTTTGCCTGTTAGGCTCCCCAGCTGAAGGATCAAGTGTTCCTGGCCTCATCCTGCCTAAAGCAATGTACAGATTCAATGCAATCCCTATCAAAATACTGACAGCAATCTTCAACAAACTGGGACAAATAGTTCTAAAATTCATATAGAACCACAAAAGACCCCGAATAGCCAAAGCAATCCTGAGAAGAAAGAATAAAGCAGAGGGGATCTTGCTTCCCAACTTCAAGCTCTACTACAAAGCCACAGTAATCAAGACAAATTTGGTACTGGCACAAGAACAGACCCATAGACCAGTGGAACAGAATAGAGAGT